TGAGACTGTTTTTAGTGGTTTTAACATGTTTGACAGCTTTAAATAAATTCAAATTCAGAGTTAAAACGTTCCTTGAAAAGAAACAACTAAGTTTTCATAAAAAAAAAAGTCTAAACAAACTCTTTAAACGTATTTGACTAGCATGAGTTCTATTTTGGGAAATTTTGGGGAAAGAAATAGTTTGGCGGAAAAAAAAGCTCTACTTTTAATCTAATATTGATCAAGACTGGATACTATGTTAAATCACTACCCTTAATCATCATCAATCGTTTAAATCACTACCCTTAATCATCATCAATCGTTTTAATCTAATATAGATCACGACTGTCCCTTATATATTATTTGGGAAGTGAGTATTTAGAATGTGCTTACATGTCAACTTAACAATCAATTTTAAAAATAAAATATGACATGACAACCCATTTATTATGACATGATAAAACACATATTACTTATCTAATCTAAACCAATTAAAACAAATCTATTTCATCTAATTAAAAATATTTAATTAGCCCACTACTAACCTAAACCCACATTAATCTTATTATATCTAATTAACAAAATTTAGCCCACTAATAGAACCAATAATTAAGAAACGTCACTCCGTCACAAAGTTTTAAGCAAGAACATTATTTTGACAATTCAATACATGCAATGCAATAATTTTACTAATAAGATAAAGCTTTAATTAATGTTGCAATGGTGTGTAGATACTTTAATGTTCACACATGTTTTTGCCATATATGTTTATCAATTAGACTATACATTCATCTTTCTCGGAACATTTCTTCTTTTTGTACCTAATTAACAAATTTCACATTTTCTTTATCAAACAAAAAAAAACAAATTTCACATTTTAACTAAAAAAACAAACACTTTAATTTTATGATAGTATGGGAGTCTTACTTGCACGACAAGTTCCAGCCTTGTAGAATCTCGCGACGGATTCTACAATTGTCAAAAATTATGAAAAAGATGATTTATATGTGGGGATTCACCATGGGTTACATGTAAATTGTTGGGAAGTGCCAGGAAATCCACCATAGGTGCAATGTTGCTTGTTCTCATTTTACATAAACAAAATGGATCCATAAGGAAGCAGAAGATTCCGGATTTTTCTATACATGATGGAAATCATTATGTCAATTGTGGCAAAATGCGTGGTAATGATGTGACCATAAGAATTATTTATGCACATGTAAGAGCATGTGCAATGCATGTTTTTAGTGTGTTCTTAGGATATGTTCTTAGTGTTATTTTAAATAAATATAATTGTGTTATGTTAAGAACTACTTAAAACTGATTTTAATTTAGATCAATTTTAGAGTGTTCTTTGTGTACACATGTCAGCAGGAG